GGCGGCAGCAGCAGGTACCGGCGGGGGAGCTGCGCCGAGGAGAGCGGGTAAGAGGGGGCAGCAAGAGGGATGGGGAGGGTCGCTGGAAGTACGAGGGAGCTGTTAGCCGTCTTCCAGCCTTAAATCTGCAATTGGCTTGCTTACCCCTGTGGTGCAGCGGCTCCCGGCTGCAGGTTATTCCTGCTCGGTGCAAGGCGATGGGGGGTGGTCTGGTGGTGGGGTCCTGCTGGCAGCGGAGGGCCCAGGGGACAGAGCTGGGAAGTCGTTGGGGTCCCTTCTCGTCAGTTCAGCTTGATGGTCCAAGTCCGGTGGGCGGCAAAGGGGACTATGATAACACCAGGTTGCTCACCTGAAGGTCTGCACCTGCGTTTTCACGTAATAAATACAAGACTTGGACCAGAGGTGTCAGGAAACTGGTGACAGACGGACCCGGGGCACGAGAAGAGCTGGGCAGTGACGCTACCAGGCAATGGGAAGTCTCCAAAGATGAACGATGCACGGGCAGTGACCTCTCCTGGTGCAGGCTGCCTCACACAAGCCTCTGATATCCTGCGTCAAAGCAAACTTACTCTTTTCCTTACTCCGACAGATAAGGCTAAATAAATGGTCACTGGTAAATTCTCGGCAGAGAACAAACCACCAAGGGGATGGGATCACAAGAGGATAGGTGATCGCACAGTTACGTGGAGCTCCCTGCCACTGATTACGCTACTTCAGTGGCTGAACAGGTTTTGGACGGGTCAGACTTACCTGGTTGTTGTGCGCCAGGACAAGAGACATAAAACCCGAGTCGCGAGCAGCGGTTACGAAAGCGCGTTTCAGATTATCCAACGGAAAGATGCTATTGCAAAGGCTGCTCGCTACCTGTCTGGGGTGGGGCGGAAATAAATAATAATAATAAAAAAATTTTAAAAAATATCACTCAGACTTTATCTACAATGATCTGAAATGAATACCGCTTTCCTTCAAATCGTTCTCCAACACTATCTTTTAGCATTGCCTCTTGAAAATAATAATGAAGCAAGATGTATTTTTTACGTAGATAAAAAGGGATTCATACATACAACTAATGAAACAATTTCTATACTTGCAAGTAAACTACGAATTTTTTTTTAAGGGTATTCATTAACATAGAGCATATTATAATGATGGATTTTACTTTTTTTTTTTTTTTTCTCATCAGGATGAGGATCCTTATTGGAAGCCTTCACTTCTACTTCATTTCTTTCTTATTCAGTAGAGCAAATGGATTCCTAACTCTGAGAACACCTACAGCCTATGCCTTCCCATTTTATAACTACTCCTATTTGAACCTCTCTTCTGTATCAAAAGCACAAGCTCCAAAAACGGCAAGAGCTCTCAATTTCTCACATAACGTAATTGAAAAAATAACCAAGAGAGACTTGGAAGGTTTCGACATGCTGGAAGTTTTAGACCTTTCCTACAATCAGATTAAGGACATTGAACCTGGTGCGTTTGAGAGGCTGCTCAGCCTTGTTTCTGTGAATTTATCATTTAATGATAAGAAACTTCTCGTATCGGGTCTTCCACCCCACCTGAAGCTCTCACCCGCTAGCGAAGCCTCAGGGTCTTTACAGCTTTATAAGTATTTTGACAAATCACCAGAGGCTGCTCTGGAGCCTTCTGCATCCGCCGAGGAGCTGCCGCATTCGGGAGGTCCGTCTGTCCTGCAAAACGTTCACCTGAGGCCCAGACGAAGTACAGAGCATCTTCTTCGAAGGGCAGAGAAAAATGTAACCGTCTCTCCAACAGCTGCATTAAGGCCTAATTTCTGTGGAGCACCAATAAATGGGATACTCGATCTGTCAAACAGCAAACTCTGCGAGGAAGAGCTGACATTAAAACTGGATCCGAATCTCTGCCAAGCTCAGCTGGAGAGTATTTTGGAGCTTGACATTAGTCACACTGACCTGGAAATGGATCTTCTATCGCTCTCCGTCCTGTTTTTGCCAATGAAAAACGTGCAGTCCGTTGATGCCAGTTACAACAAATTAACAATTAATGTTCTAGACGCTGAGGCGATCTGTAACTTCCCATTCAGCAAGCTTTTGTTTCTAAATATTAGCAACAATCCCATAAACAGCTTGGATACGCTGTGTCTCCCTTCAACCATCAAGGTAATTGATTTGTCCTTCACCAACATAAGTCAAATACCCCAAAATTTTGCTAAAAAAATGTTTAACTTAGAAAACATGTATGTTCAAGGAAATGACTTCATATATACCGTACGTCCAGAAATCACTAACGCAGTTACCAAATTTCCCCCTGGGACTGTACATATTAATGCCATTTCATTTGTCAGAAACCAGGCTGGCACACCCATCGAAAGCCTTCCGAAGAAAGTAAAACACCTGAAAATGTCCAACTGCTCCATTGTAGAACTGCCAGAATGGTTTGCTGGCACAATGGAAGAATTATTATTTTTGGATCTCAGCAGCAACCGGATTGCTGTGCTTCCTGACCTACCTACCTCCCTGCGGCATCTCGACATAAGCAACAGCGATATTAAAATAATACCCCCTAGTTTTAAATCTGTCTCCAACTTAACAATATTTAATATTCAAAATAATAAAATTACGGATATGCATCCAGAGTACTTCCCACTGACTTTAACAAAATGTGATATTAGTAAAAATAAGTTGAACCTGTTGTCATTAACTGACGCCCTGCAGAAACTCGAATATCTTAATGTTTCTGGAAACCTAATCACCAGACTGGAAGCCGCCAGCCACCTTTCTGCCCTCACTAATCTGGACAGTAGTCACAACCTAATTTCAGAACTCCCTGATCGCTTTGGGGAATCTCTTCCAATGCTGAAATATTTTAATTTGTCAGGGAATAAGATCTCCTTTCTACAGCGTGGCTCTCTCCCGGCTTCTCTGATTGAGTTAGACATCAGCAACAACGCCATTACTACCATCGTGGAGGACACTTTTGGCCAGTTGACAAGTTTGAGTGTTTTGACTGTTCAAGGTAAACATTTTTTTTGCAACTGTGACTTGTACTGGTTTGTGAATGTCTACATCCACCACCCCCATTTGCAGATAAACGGCAAAGGACATCTCAGGTGCAGCTTTCCACCAGACAGAAGGGGCTCGTTGGTGGAGAGCAGCAACCTCACGCTTCTGCGCTGCTCCCTGGGCATCCAGATGGCTATTACAGCTTGCGTTGCCATCCTGGTTGTTCTGGCGTTAACAGGCTTATGCTGGCGGTTTGATGGGCTGTGGTACGTGCGAATGGGTTGGTACTGGTGTATGGCGAAGAGGAAGCAGTACGAGAAGAGGCCAGAAAACAAGCTCTTTGATGCCTTCGTTTCATACAGTGAACAAGATGCACACTGGACGAAAGAGAATCTACTGGAAAAACTGGAAACTGACGGATTCAGGATATGTTACCATGAGAGGGATTTCAAACCGGGGCATCCTGTACTCGGTAACATTTTTTACTGCATAGAGAACAGCCATAAAGTCCTTTTTGTTCTCTCTCCCAGTTTTGTAAACAGCTGCTGGTGTCAGTATGAACTGTATTTTGCCGAGCATCGGGTGCTGAATGAAAATCAGGATTCCCTCATCATGATTGTGCTGGAAGACCTCCCGCCCAACAGCGTGCCGCAGAAGTTCAGCAAACTCAGGAAACTGCTGAAAAGAAAAACCTACTTAAAGTGGAGCCCTGAGGAACACAAACAGAAAATGTTCTGGCGTCAGCTAGCAGCTGTCTTAAAAACAACCAACGAACCACTTGTGAGAGCAGAAAACGGATCCGCTCAGGATATGTACGAGATGGAATGAGATACAAGAAGGTGTAAAGGTTGTCCTGGAAAGTCTGTGGTCAAATAAAAGCATTTCTGTCTTTACCTGCTGTGAAGGTTGCTGTGTTGCAATGAGGGTTTGTGTTGGCTCAGTCCCAGGAGAGGTTACTAGCGGGTTTGTAGCATGCACGTTATTCCGTCTGATAAAAGAATCCGTTATCCAGAGGGCTGAGACCCGAGCACTGATAAACAGCCGTTTCTTCCTGGGTGCTTGATTTTCTTCAGGTATCTCCAGCATTTCTTAAAATGCTGTGGATGTCACCTGAAAGGAAGAACAGCTCGAGTCACACTGCATGTCCTAACCGTCTTTTTGAGATTATTGCAGAAATAATGACAAGCGATGTCATTCAAAGGTAAAGTTGTAGTTCAGGTTCTCAGTTCTAGTACAGCTTAAGATGGGAACACAGAGTGTGTACATCTAAGAAAAAACACAAAACATGACACTACACAGGTATCACTTTCCTTCTGGGGCTTAGCGAGAAAAGATTAAAGACTGACTGAATGCAGCCGTCTGAGAGACGCAATTGCAAATCCACACTGCTACATCATTTGGCTTAAGTAACTGGTGGAAGAAATCAGACCTTAAAATTTTTTATAATGACAGATTAACATATACAACCAGACAATCAAAAAGGAGCGAGCTGAGCGTGCCAGTCTCTACTGTTAAATAATTGGTGTGAGCTTTATTTAAATGCTGTTATCACAAACCTCTGAAGATTAAGCAAGGAAGTTCTGTATAATATTATTTAGACTTTGGAAAGTTTCACTTGACACAATCAGCCTGACCCATTTCAAATCAATTCAGTGCTCGCTCTGCATAGCCCTTGTCATCACCTAGTGCTACCTAATAATTTTACTTATTATATTTGAAAAAAAAAAAAAAAATTCAGCTGATCTAATGTCCACTTTCAAGAAAAATCAGCAGACTGTGACACTAAATAAATACCAGGTTGAACAAATCATTTAGCGTAGCACAAGCTGGGCTCGCTCATATGATGAGCAAACCCGAGTGACTTACCAGCAGAAGACCACAGACCCAGGAATACAGAACGTCTATGCGCAACATGTGGGACAGCACGTTTGAAACACACATTCTGCAAAAGAATTGGCTCTGCTGTGACGAAGTAAGACCAATATCATCCTATTTGATGCCAAAAGGGGAAACGTGAAACAAACGTAAAGAGGTATCAGCAAATACAGCAACTCTTCTGCAACGTATCTCAAAAAGGAGAAGATCCAGCTGGAGCAGTACGTGGTTTTCACCCTCCCTGTGCTGCTCCCCGGTAAAAAGGAAAAACCCCACGTTGCAGCACGTAGCATGTTTGTCTCTTGGGACCACGGTTCAGGGACAGCTTTTGTAACGAATGAAACCGTTTTTCCAATACTGAACATAAACCCATTTTAAATAGGAATTGACAACGACCTGTTGTCAGCATTTCTTAGCACGTAAAAAATGACATTTTACAGTCAATTTGCCAGTACTGATTGAACTTCAGGACACTGTGCTTAGTATATCCATGAAGCGCAGTGCTTGAAGTTGACAATAACCAAAGAGCTATTCAAATCAAAGAAATCTGCATCAATCGCGCCGCAGGACAGAACCAGTGCTCAATCCTCCATCCACCTGTGGCACCGGTGCAAATACACTCCTCTTAAACACTTAAAAAAAATTTTAAAAAACCCATACAAAACAGACAGAAGGCAAACCTAGAAAAGCGTCTGTAGGACTCCACCTTAACCCCTGCAAGACCATTCCATTATTTTAAGATATTACACCACCTGCCTTTTCTCGGTTTCCATCGTGAACATCTCAGGTTGCTCTCCGCAGCCCTGCTTCACTACCTCGTGGAAGAAGGTGAAGAGATAACGGCGCAGGTAAGCACAACCCTCGCAGTCCTGAAGTCCCTTTATTTTTTATTCCCTGCGCTGCAGGTGGAGTGGTACTGAAGATTATATGGGGGATAATCTCCACAGCTTTCCTAACAAGTGACAAATTACGTACCTAAACCATACATACCATAAAATACCACAAAATTATTAGGCACTGAGCCTTCTTGACTATCGTCTGTCCAATTTTTGCATCTTGCCCTCCCCAGCTTGTTGAAGCCTTACTGCTAAGGCAGACTGGCTCTGTGACTTAGAGAGAAATGTACACCGCCTTACAGAAACCTCTCTAATCTCTAGTCTAAAAAGTTCTGAGGTGGCGCCCAACTGTTGAACATTCTTTAGCAACTTTCTGAGGCTGTGTAGATATTGTTTAAAATTATTTGGCACTAGCAGCTTTTAGGTTTTATGTATAAAGGATAAAAAATACAATACTGCAGGCCACCAGCTGAAAAAGTCAACTCTTACCACCATAAAGCAAGATCTATGACTTAAAAAGACTGTAAATTATAAAGTCTTTCAAATACTTCTGATGACGTAAACAACTAGAAGGCTCTTGTTAGTGAGATCAGCCCCAAGTAATTAATTAGCTGTTTTTCTAATAAGCTTCTTTATGCTTTCTTTGAGGCCACTCCTTATTTCACGAGATGCCCTGGTCAAACTGTTAGTAGCACACCTAACACCGCAAACGCAGATTTTCAATAATAAAGCAGAAACAGTCCTCGAGCCAAATACCGTGACAGCGGCCAACACCAGCAACTTCAAAAGAAGCTGAAAAGCGCACTGAAAACATATACTGGATAACACATTCTGCCACGATGGGTTCATCCTAACCTTAGAAATCAAAGATTGCTTTAATTCCTGGAGTATAAAATTTTACATATATTCCAAAACGTGTCAGCATTAACTGTCAGGCTGCCGACATTCGTATTACCCACGTGAAGTACCTGTTAAACCTTCCTAGTTTTTTCTTAACAGTTCTGCAGCGATGAGGTCCGCAGCGTATGTACAGGCAGTAAGGAAAGCACAGCAGTTTATGAGTCTTGGATTTGCCCTCTTTCATATTCACGAGATGCTTTCTTGAGTTACAGACTGCACTAACTACAGACCTACTTTTTCTAAACCATTCAGCATTCACCTACTTTATCGCTTATGCTCTTACCCATCTCCTCTCTTCACATACGTTTTCCATCTCCTTCGTCCGGCTCTCTGTTGCTTCCCCTGTCAATTACATTGCTCCTTTTTTAACCTCGCCATCACGCTTTACTGGTTCTGTACTCAGCAGAAGAGGGTTCTGATACAACAAGGGGGCTAAAGGAAAAAAGAAGATTTATACTCCAGAAGAGTCTAAAACAATTATTTTATCATATGATAACTGATCAGTTTATAATTCTCTTCAAAGAAATTGTACCTACATATTTTCAAAATCCAATCTCTATTTACTACATCCACAAACCTCCCCCCAAACAGTTATTTAGTACAACTGACAACTTAAACCAGACTTTGTTCCTACTGCAGATTAAAAGGCCTTGCACTTTCCTATCTGACACTATAAACATATTAACACAGTGGTTGTATTAAGAATACAGCTGGCACCAGGAGTTAACAGAAGAGCAGTATTACCAAGTGCTTTGAAGGGACTTCAGTTCTTTTGTCTTAATAATACATCACATGAAGGCAATAAAACCTCCTTCTACCCTAAAGCTGTACCCTTCTTGCTTTACTCCCACATGAATACTCAAAGCAAATGACTTTTATGAATAAGGTGCGAGGGATTTAATCTTCTGTCATGTGATGAAGTTCATGTGATCCAAACCAAAACCACAGTAGGAGTCGTACATACACGCAGCAAACCCAAAAACCGCTTAATGTTAAAACCAGTCTTAATGCATATCTTCAACTCCCTTAAAGTACATACAGGACCCCATCTTGCAACCACCTCTGGGGTCCTGCCCTATAGTCCTTACGGTCTGAAACTGTAATTGCTCAAACTAAGAACATATAGTTTGAGACAAAATTACAGGATCCCACATACTTTTTCCCTCCAAATTAGGACGCTTTGTATTAAAGAGAAATGCAATGACAGAAAAAACAAAGACGACAGATCTTTTAGTTATCTTTTATAATTACTTTAGAAAGAACCATGTTATTCGTTTATAGAGAAAAATATCCGGGCAGAGAGAAAAGATTTATGGAAATAATTTCAATTTTACATTTGTATTAGAAAGTTGTTCACATCCATTTTATTGCAAGAAAGCTGTCTTGAATTATTCAAAATTAATTAAAATTCAGAGTGTTAAACAAAGAACAGTGATCATAATGTAATAGTCTTCCAGGAAAATCTTGAAAATAGTTTAGTTAACAAATAGCCTAAACCAATAACAACTCACACATGGCAATGATGTGAAGGTTTTTTGTTTCTAAAATAACAGATCATCTTTCCATCACTGTAATTTTGCTAAAGATGTGGCATTTTCCTATAATGAGGCACCAAAAGTCTGTGGCACGATTATTTTGGAGATACTAAGGCTCTGCTAAAGTCCACAGAAGTTGAAAGGTGATTACTTGTTTTGAAAAGATCTGGCCACTTAAAGCGATAATTGTCAGGAATTGAAATGCCTCCAAATCATTCCGTTTCATAAGGAATTCCCACAACACGTGACACAACACAAATGGTCAGATTTATAAAAAAATATTTAACTTCTGTTATTTGCTCACTGTGTAGACCAACAGATAAAGTTTATAAGTAGACAGATTATTAATCTTTAAATCAAACTGATGTTAGACTTCTTAAGAAAACCTCAAAAACTTGTAGTCATCTTGTTATGTGGTCGTTCTGTTTTTAAAAATGTTAATAGCTGTCAGTTCTACCTGTCAGGAACATCACAGTAGAATCCCCCCAGTTCCCGCTTTTATACAAAGTCATAGACAAAAAAGCAACCAGCAACACTATTCTTTCCAGAGATGACTGCATTACTAATAGTGTATCAGTACCGTAATATTGCAATATTCATCTTTGTCCTCAAGTAAAACCTATAATTAGGTATTGCGCAGTTATTTCTATCAGATGTAAAATACTTCTCCAAATATATTATTTTGGGATACGTAACGCCACCGATCCTTAAAATAAATGTACAGCAGAAATTAATATAT